CACACAGGCACGGAGCTTGCTGCTTTTTGGGCCTTGTGAGCAGTCCCTTCAGGTGCCTTCGGTGAGAGGCCAGCAGCCCTGCCTCCGCTGAAGCCTTAAATCGCACTCGGGATGTTTGCAGCAATCCCTAGCAATTTAAGAAAGATGGCAAAGCAGCTGGCCGGTTCGATGCTGAGGGCCAATGATGCGCTTCCGGTGGCAAGGCCCACTGCACCCAGCTTCGACCTGAAGGACCAGGGCGGAACATCGTGGTTGCCACTTTGGGCGACCCCTTAACGTGATCAAGTAGTCATGGAGATGAGAGAATCCTACTTTGAAATTCACACGGATGAACTTTTCACAAGGGTGTGAAGGACTCATGCATTGGGCCAGAGCTTTCCACTCTGGACCCTTTAACTTTGCCCGCGCGTCCTTGGATCAGATGGGCGCGAAAACCCTGCGTGCCATCCATACAGAGCTTACAGGCCTGGGGCTAGGACGCACCGAGATTTTGTTGTACTCAACCGAAACTGGCCATGGACCTGGTGTTAGTGCTGGCGCTGGCCCTTGGAGCAGGGGCACAGCGCTGCGCACTCAGGCGCGAGCTGGGCCGTGTGACGGTGACGGGTGATGCTGACCTCTGGGGTTTCTATCCCCGGTACAACTGGAACTGAAAACGCCAGAGCTAAATGCGTCCTCCTTAGTTGCACGCGCTTTGGCGAAGCTTCTGCCCAGGGTCGAGAGCGAGGGCGGCATGCATTTGCTGCAGCGGGGCGCCGGTGCACTGCGGCTAGAAGGAAATTTACCAGCTGGGCAAAAAAAGGCTAGTGTTGCAGCAATCCCTTTTTCCTAACAGAGATCTTCCGAACCCCAACTCGGGTTTTATTAGGGGTCCCCCCAATCCTTTCCTTTCAGAAACTTGCTAGTTTTTGTTCATCTGCCAACGTGCCTGCTTGCACTAATGCTCGACCCAGTGGAAACAGGAAACAAGAGGAGTTTGAACCATTCAATTCTGCGGGAACAAGTATTTTGTGCTACAAGTCAAACTACCCCCAAAGTAATGAGGAGCCCACTGAGCATAAACATGTCGATAAGTCCGAGCAAACATTTCTAATTTTACTATTAGGGCGAGGGGGTCCCGTTTGATATTAGGTTATTAGGGGCGAGGTTAACATTTTTTTTGGAATAGCTGGGCATGTTTGTGGGTTTTGCGGGTCTGTTGTTGGTCAAATCCGATCCTGGATCTGAACCGTATTGCAGCGATTCTGCCCAGATCAAATGGACCTGCCACCCAAAAACAGAGATCCACAACCTATGGATGCGGATTCTGACCGGGAGAGCGATGCTGAGAATGATGCCTGCCAAAAGCACAATGACACTCCGATGCAGATGATGAGACGGAACATCATTGTCAGAGGTGTGCCCTCTATCCCAACAAGGTCCATGCTGAAGATGATTAGAAGAAGATTGTTTTCCTGCTGAAGGCGCTCAGGGTCCTGTCCTTGCATATCAACAAGATCAGGCATTTCATGGGGTGACAATGGAACCCATCTGACCATGAACGATTTTCCGTGTTCGCCCACCACGACTAGCAAGAGTCGTGTTCATCACTGGCACCCTCACTTCCGACATGCCCCTGACAAGACGACAAATTCAGAAAGATCGCCTAGCCCAGATGCAGAAACAACCACCCGAGACCTGGGTCCCCGCATGATTACAACTCCAAGGTGCACTCGAATCAGCCTGCAACATCGAATATCAACCAGAACAATTCGATAATAACTTGTTACCGATAGTATTGCGCTGGACGCGGACTACACCATAGTGTCCGGTGCCTGGTCAGATGGTGGAAGGCGAAATCTCTTTGCGCATTGACGAGGCATCTCGATGAGCGACATGCAGGTGGAATTGCTTCCTTGGTCTTGTGGAGAGTTGAGAGAGTGAGCGCAATGTTTTCGCAAGCGCTCCGACATGAGTTGGACAAGCATGCATGATCTGGCACTTGTAGTTCCAATGTCCAAGATATGACGGAACACACAGGGGGAGAGTCGCCAGACAACATATTGTTCCGTCACGCCGACGGATCAGACATTTGCCACACCATTTCGATTCCAAGAACTCAGGGCCCATGCCCGGCGGACATCGTTATTGCAATAAGGCGATTGAATTTCATGTCAGGCGTTTAGCAGGACACGTGAGAGATATAGATAGCTGGCCAAAGTGCCAACCTTTTGGTCAAGCCAGAGATGGTTGCAAAACTGGAATGATGACAAGCAAGATGAACATATTGCTGAGTCAAGAGAGAAGATTGCAGGCAGGATGAGCCAAGGTCTTCCAAATACAAGGGAAGCAAGGACCAGGGACAAGGGAAGAGTACATGTTCACATGGCGTGTGGCGATGACTATGTGAGCCTTCCCGGCATGTTTTCAAGTCAGCGCAAGAAGGAAGATCAACGATCATCGTCGTTGCGGTTCAGCCTCTCCGAATCAAAGCCAACAAGGCGGGTAGCAAGAACGAGGGAATCCATTTCGTTTGTGCTGTGTCATGAGAACGAAAAGAGCGGACCAAAAGTGGATTTCTGCATTGATCAGAAGAGCTGAGAAGTATAAAAATACACCTGTTGCATCGAAGATTTCATCAAGGACTTTTTCAACAAGAGCAACTTTGTGGAGGAAGGAGTCTGGCCCTTTTATAAGTCTCTTGTCTTGTCAGTGGCTGCAAGGCAATCGTATCTGGAATTAGTGCATGAAGCATCCTCTTCCCCAGTTGCCATTTCAAAGAGATGCCCGTAGTCGTGGCGCAGTTTCTTGTCTCACGTCCTGTCACAAGCTCAACCCGGCTTGTCCTGTCTCCTTGCACGCTACGTCCAATCGCTCGAGCTCCTGTCTGGCTGACGACTATCCCTTGCAATCCTGCTCGGATGCGGGTAAGCTGCTTCAAGGAGGTGACGAGCGTGAGCATCGGGTCTGTTATTTCTGAAAGTCTTCATTCATGGTTTGCGAGAGTCATCTTCATAGTAGATGTCTTCCGGAGGATAAACCCGAGTCAACCTCGCGCTCTTTTTGTGGATCTTGTGGTAATGCTCGCGCTCTTTTTCCAAATCCTCCTTGCTTTGTTGATGCAGAAAGAATTGTCCGATCCATGGCTTTAGAGATGTCCGTCCTCCTTCCCGCGCAAATAGATGGCTGTCTTGGAAGGAGTCTTATGCGTTTCTGAACTGGTGGATGATACTGCCGAGACATAGCTTTTGTCCGTTTTTCAACCCAGTGTGAGATCGTTGCTCTCGTAGAGTTCCAGAATCCGACGGCAGATTCCAACTACGAGCGGGGACATGTTTATCGAGCGGGCGTTCTTGCCGCTGGTGTTGCAGCACCACTGCGGCATGCGACTTCAACAAACAGCCAACTCCACGTCCATCGAGTGACATGTCATCCAAGTTGTCGGACTGGTGATTGCTCTTGTGGAAGATGTGAAGCTTGGGTTCAATGGTCACACCGCGCCCCATGGTACCCTCACCCCAGATAGAATCCACAGCCACCCCTAAGGATATGGCGCGTGGCGTGCTCTTTGCAAAGCAAAGATCTTCGTGTGACGACCTTTCATGAACGCGTGCTGACATGATGTTTCCAATTCGGCAAAGGCTTGGGCGCAACGACATTGACGACAACGGGTGCTGCGAATTTGAAGACGACAAAGCCAAGGCATTCCGAGATTACGGAGTTACATCCTCAGAGCACTAAGCGCTTGAACAATGAGATGCTCATCCTCTCAGAGTGAACATCAAAGACGCAGAAGAGGGAGCCAGTGGATTACAAGTAGTCCAGCACAAAAGATGCCCATCACCAGATCGATCATGCGTAGTCGCGACTACTACCAGAAGAGCCAGTTACAAGGAGGAACTGGTATCCCACCAAAGGCACAGCGACACATTCAACTGATCAATTGCTACCTCCACCTGTTCGATTTCTGTGTGCTTCGTAGGTCCTTTGTGAGGTGAGCAGGTCATCACCGTTCACACAGCCGAAGACACACGCGCAGAGTGTCTCTTTTTGCAGCGATTTTCGACGGAATTTGATGTCTCAGGCTCAGAGCAGTTCTTGACGACGCGCGGGTGCAACAGAGTCTAACTTATACTGTATCATATTGGCCCACACATGCTCATGAGTAACTTAGATGCTGAAGGTCAAAGTACGGTATTTCTTTTGTTTTGCTCTGCCTCTTCCGAGCAATCATCATATGTCTCTTGTTGCCTTCCGACTTTAAGCGTATCTTGTTGCAGGCCCAACGTGTACAGAGGAAAGCCTGTAGCCGCGCGTGCCTTCCAGTAACATTCAAGGGAACAGACGGATAGGACCGCCACAGTTTTCCAGCTTAACAGTTGCTTTACACCTCGGAAACAGGCCCAGGGAACCAACGGGGCTTGCTGGATTGTGCTTTTCCAACCGGAGCCAGCATTGCTGGTGTGCAAACGGCACGTTTTGCAGAACAACTTTAAGCTGCCGCGCCTCGAGAGCAAGGTTGCGCCTGTTCCAACGAGGTTATGGCAAGATGCTCCTGGCGTCCACCAGTACAAAGGGCTTTATTTTGACGGAAGGTTATCAAAGTCAACCATTGGGGATGCTTACTTTTAACCCACTCAGGAGACTTTGACAAGTGTAAAAAAACAGCCAGCAAAAAGGAGTGTTGGGCTTCCAGCTGAGCTAAGGCCGGCTGGAAAGGACTTCTTTGATTTCCAGTCCATTCTTGCAGACAATCCGCAAGGCGCGCCCGGGTTCTACTTTGAGCCCTGCGCACAATGCGCAGGGTTTGTTTGCACTTTGGGATTCAACACCATGGGTGGTTTCCCTTTACTTTCCTGCTTAAACAAGCTTAAACAATCCCGAAAAACAAAAAGAAACAAAGAAACAATCAAACACCATGGTTTCCAAAGCCTCTTCCCTTCTGACAGGTTTGTGCCGGTTTATGTTGTGGAAGTCCAGTCAACAGCTTCCGCTGGCGGCCAGGCTCCTTTTTGTCGGGCATGGAGGTCTTGGTCCGTGCCAACTCTATGGCTTACAACACCACGCAGCCCCTCTTCGACCCCGAGAGCGACCGCCTAGATGGCTTCGATGCAGGTGCCGGATTGTGTAGGGAGGTGTTGGCTAGAACTTGTCGGAAAGTCGGAGCATTGCTCGAAAAGCTGAGCCCCATTGTATCACGCGTTCTTTTGGGTGCGTGGCCATTTCCTGAAATTGGAAGTGTCCCAGGGTCCTCGAAAAGAATGGGTGAAGTACAGCTAGAGTAGTGCACAGCGCTGCAGGGATACAAGCTTGTTCAGGTTTAACACCCAACCAGTTCCACCGGACCTGTTCCACCGGACCATTTTGGGTCGACAAATCCATGGGTTCGCCCGAGACCAAAGAAACGTAGGGGGCCGGCGCTGGCAGCGGCTGCGGCGCTTCGACCGGGACCCGGCGCCCGGGGGTGTCTTCGCCCGGGTCTTCACGTCCGGCCGCAGCGCGGTGGTGGCCTTCAAGGGCATTTGCCAGCCAGGCGGGGTGGAAGGCCGGGAGGCCCCTGGCGCCGCCTTCAGGACGCCGAAAGGGGGTTGAGCCGCCAACCCTGGGTGTTGTTCAAAGCCAATCCGAAAGCCGCAAGATTGGGTGAAGTCCTCTGTGTGGTCCCCTGGCAATGGATTCGCTGTGTGGCGTTCCGCGCTCAGATCCCGAGGCGGCGAGCAGTGCATCATTGACACGTGCTTCCTGGCAAAGATCCAGGCGTACGGCGCCCTGTCAAAGGACCTAAGCCGGGCCTTTGGCGCGGAATCTTGGCTGCATGGAGGCGACGCCGGCATTTTTGCCTTTCTCAGATTCCTCTACTGAGGGCCAGCAAGTTAGCAAGTTTTGTTCTTGGCGCAGGCAGCTAGCATGGTGACTGGGTATGTGAAATGGGGCGGGGCAAGCAAATTGTGGTTTTCCTTTTGGTTTCTTTAAAATCAGTCTGAAAAGGGCTGCTTTTGCCTCCAACAAAAACCCAACAGTTTTCTTTCATTTTTTTTGCGGGAGGGAGGAGGGGTTGTGGAGGAGGACGAGACCTGCCGGAGATTCGCGCACCTGCTGAATTTCGAAGACCAGGCGGACCGCCTGGTGCGCGAGGTGCAGCAAGGTTTGCCTGGCTTCAGCATCACCTTGACGGGCCACTCGATGGGCGGCCACCTGGCGGAGAGCGGTAAGCGGTTTGATGAATTCGCCCGTCTGCCAGAAAGAGAGATTCCGCAGGTTCGGAGCGAAAACCCGTCAGGTCCTTTGGGAATCTCTTGAGTTTGCAGATCCCCGATGCTCAATGTCGACGAACATTTGGATGTAGAGGAAAGACATGCGGGTAACATGGCGGTGTCTTGGAGACTTAGAGAAATGGGTGTGTCTTACAATAGACGAACAGGAGCTTCTCCTTAAAACACCAAAAGGAGTAGCTCCAAAACAGCGAGACTCGACCGGCGCTCAGGCATGTTGGCCATCGTCACTGCGGCGCGGCAGCCAAAGGTGCTGAAGGCGCTGACCTTTGCACCCACGCCCTTTCACCAGGCGCTGATACAGGACCGAGGGCTCGGATGCAACTCACACCGGGTTTTGTGGTTTGGTAAGCAAGTTCATAGAGCCATGGTAAATCAGGGTAAGTCAGAGGGTTTCCTGTTTTTCTTTTTCAGCATTTAAAGGGCACCCGGACCCAGTGGATGGGATTGATTCATTGATGGGTCTGACGTCTGGGATGGGCCGACTGCACAGTTGCGGTACAGTACCCTTCGGGGCGGTACTTCTTATGTGGTTAGTCACCATAGATCCCCACATAGTTGCAAGTCCCCAAGCCTATAGCCATGGTTGCCATCACTGACCTACCCTGCCCTTTAACGTGGCAGGACCTGAACTGGACGGAGGATCAGATCCAAGGTCTGAATGCAGATGACTTGGCAGCTCGGCACATGAAGCACGCGCAAGGCATCCGCACATTGCAAACATGGACCATTGGAGGTGGTGTGCATGAATCCTTTCCCTGAGGAGTTGGCAGATGGTGTAGCAACGAGTGACACGCACCATAATGACACATGAAGCAGCGAGCAAGCTAGCAGACCCAAGCCGGCCGGCAGAACCTGGGCGACACTGGCTTAGAATATCTTCAGAATGGAATGCGGCCCAGGTTGCCACTTGCGATCCCTTCGACTGCGGTGTCAACTCCCTGTATGTGGAACAGGCGCGGAGCGGCTCGAAAACATGCCTCTACCTGGATTCTTGGCTGCAATAAATTATTTCTGACGCGCTGAATGCCCCTAGAAAACATGGGCCATGTACCCTTGTGCGCATGATGTTGGCCCTCCATGGCGGGGCACCCGAGGGTTCTTTGGATTGTTGCTAGCGCCAGGGGTGGCTGAGAGGCATGTGGAATTCAGATTGATAAAGCCAGCTTTGATGTGAACTCGTTGGAGTCACTTGGATCAGTTTTCAGTCGCACCAAAGCTAGGATACCTCAGCAAGATGCCTTCGCGAAATCTTGATGACCCGCCTCCTGCTTTGTGGAAACCCACCCCGAGCCACTTGCAATATCAAAAGTTGCGACAAAAACAAGGGGCACCTCAACGGGAACACGGTATTTTGTCCCGGAAATTATTTGGAGACACTTCTTTTCTGAATTTCGGCAGCCACATGCGTTACACATGGCGTATCGGAATGATTCACTTCATGATAATGTTGAGCACGTTTATGGATGCTGTGAAGAACATGCCATGTCCTTGAATCTTGATGCTCACACGAAGGGTGGGCTCGAGCTAAAGCAAATAGGCTACGCCTCACGGATGGATTGAGGAGAAAAGTGGCTGACGACTTCGTGCGCGGCGGCCTGGAGAAGTGAAGGACTTCTTGTTGTTGGTAGCGGAGCTCTACGACCAGATCTGCTCCGTGGACGCTACCTACTCCAATGATGGCAACCACAGATGGTGATGGCGGAGGAAAAGGAACTGGAAAGGGAGATAACAACAGCCGTGCTGACAGCTATGTCCCCACCTTCACTGGCAAGCAGCAGGACTACCGCGAGTACCGGAAAAGGTGCACAATCTATCGCAAGAAGATGGAACTCGCAGGACGAAGCAAGGAGACTGCCTTCAACATCATCACGATGCTGACGGGCAAGGCTTGCGACTTGGTGGAGGATCTGGACATGGAGCGCCTGGCAGAGGATGGTGGCTACGACATGATCTTTGAGAGGTTGGACAGAGGTTTCAAGCACGAGCCACTGACAGAGCTGCCGGACGACTTTGAGAATTTCTTCGTGAAGTTGCAGCGGCGACCTGGTGAGACCATGCAGGAGTATGCGGCGGAGTTTGCGCGGTCGCAGAGGAGACTGCAGAACACTCATCGGGTGGAACTCCCCGAGAAGGTGTTGTCATGGATGTTTATCCGGAGAGCTGGAGTGACCAAGGAGCAACGCCAGATGGTCCTCACGATGATGGGTGCGGACAACATGACGTTGGGAAGAGCTCAGGAGGCGATGTTCTTTATCATCGGCCAGGACAGCAAGGCGGAGCGCCCCCGGAAGGATGTGTACTACACGAACGACTGGGGAGCTGAGGAGGCCTCTGTGAACGACTTCCCGCAGCACCCGCACGAGATCTACTTCTACAGTGATGATGACGAGGAGTGGAACGATCAGGATGAGGACTACTTCGACCAGCCGGTCCAGGACACGGAAGAGACCGAGATCTTCAGGATGAGGACTACTTCGACCAGCCGGTCCAGGACACGGAAGAGACCGAGATCTTTGATGTGGAGGAGTATGATGAGGTCTATACTGCCTACATCAATGCCAAGAACCAGATGAACCGGATGCGAACTTCCCGAGGATCTTATCCGGTGGTGGCGATGGTTGACGCCAGGGGAGGTAGCAGCCGGGACAAGGACAAGGGCAAAGGCAAGCGGTCGAAGGGCAAGTCTGGTGGTGGAAAGCATGGACGTGGCGGAGGATCATCCCTACCGAGATCGGCACCAGCATCACCGACGGCTTCTTCATCGGCAAAGGCAAGAGGCAAGGCTGCAGTGGGCAAGCAGTTGTGCTTGCGATGTGGCCAGCCAGGCCACTGGGCAAGGAACTGTCCATCTGCTGGGGAGAAGAGGAAGCGCGTGGCGGACCAGGATGCCGACATTAACATGGTGGAGGATGCTGACGATGTCAAGGACGACGACCGCAGGATCTACCACCTAGACGAGGACGACTCGGACAGTGACGATGTGGCCGTACAGGATGGAGGTGCAGCATCACTGTTGGCATCTCGCCAGCAGGTCCGGAAGTACCTGAAGTACCTCCTGGAGAAGGGTGTTGCCAGGGATGAGATCCAAGTTCATCCCTGCACCAAGAGCTTCAAGTACGGCAACTCCGAGAAGGGTGACTCACAGGTATGCGTTATGGCGCCCACCTACATGGGCGGCAAGAAGAGGCGCATGTTGATGTATGTCATCTCCGGGACTGTGCCGATCCTCATTGGCCGACCGGTCAAGCGGATGAAATGGCCTCATGGACAGTGGATCGACATCCCAGTTGGACCACGTGGAGAACACCAGCTACACCTTGCTGAGGATGTGGACGAGCTGAAGGATGCCGAAGATGAGGAGATTCTGATCCCGGAGAACGCCATCAACCACGTTGACTTTCAGAAGGACCTGGGCATAGAGGCCCTGAATGAGGACGATGCCATCAATGCTGTGGAGGAGGATAGCGGACATGGTGCTGGGGCAGACGACCAGCAGGCGATGCCAGGGTGATTCTGATGCCGGATCTCGATCCGATGCTAGGCCTGGAGGGCCTGATGCCAGGCGACAGCCTGATGCCGAGTTGGACTCGAAGACCCAGAGGAATCAGAAAGCCTTGGAGGTGCGGTTCGCTGGAGTATGCATGGAGAATTCGGAAAAGACGAGCCGACTCACTCAGAAGAAGCTGAGGACCATGATCACTGGGGCGGAGAAGGAGATCGCGACCCAGAACAGGATGTTGAGAAAGGCCAAGGACTGCGAGAAAGGAGCCCAGAAGCGAAAGATCTGGGAAGTGTTTGTTGCAAGGTGCTTGCGAAGATGAAGAATGTCGAAGTGGGGGTATTCTCCCTACACACTGGCTGGGACCTGACGGACAGGAAGGTGCAGGCGAAGTTCCTGGATCGCGTGCAAGAAGAGGAGCCCGATGAAATCCTGATGGCGCCGATGTGCAGACTGTGGTCGCAGATGCAAGAGTTGAGCGCGAGCAGATCGCCCGAGGCAAAGCAGAAGCTGGTGGAACTTCGACGGCAAGATCATAACAACGTGCTGCAGTTTGTGAAAAGGGTGTACATGGAGCAGTACAACAACAGCAGAGAGGTGACGTTGGAGCATCCCTGGACCAGCAGAGCGTGGATGACAAAAGCATGGCATCAGCTGCCGGGTTATGAGACCTACGTGGACCAATGCGCTTATGGACTCAAGGTACCCGATGATGAAGGAGTTGTGCGACCATCGAAGAAGCCGACCAAGTTCCTCACCACGAAGAAGCATCTCTACCACAAGGTTGGCAGGACCTGCCAATGCGGTGAGCCACATCAAGCACTGGAAGGCAATGCACCTGGAGCAGGCCCAAGGACCAAGTTGGCGGAGAGCTACCCGATTGCGTTAGCCAGGAAGTTGGCTGAGGCAATATCGACAAGATCCATGCTGCCGATGAGGACGTGGTGATGGAGCCGGTGAGTCAGGCCGCGGTACCAGCAGAACCTGCAGGTGATGGACAGCGAGATAAACAAGCTCAAGCTGAAGAACGAGACCAAGGTCATTGAGAAGAACAAGGTTCTCAAGGCCAAAGTGGGGAACCAGGTCTTCGGCTACGTCAAGAGATTGCACAAGAACCTGGGACATCCATCTGCCCCGGTGCTCAAGCAGATGTTGATGGAAGTGCAGGCGACTGAGAATGTGCTGAAGGCGGCCGAGGAGTATCTGTGCCCACAGTGTGTTGCTCGTCAACGACCAGGAGGTGTCCCACCTGCTGCTGGATTGACCAGCAAAGAGTTCAACGACCGCATCGTTGTGGACTCGGCCTGGATTGCAGTGGAAGGAGGACGACGCTGCGTGCTCACAATCCAAGATCAAGCAACGCGGTACATTGCGGTCCGGATTCTCAAGAACGAGAAGGCGGAGGACCTGATCAAGGGTGTCGAACGGGCATGGATCAAGCAGTTTGGCATCCCGAAGTACCTGCGCACAGACGAAGCAAAGGGCTGGGCGAGCAAGGCTCTGCGAGAATGGACGGCAGAGCGGAATATTGCCCTGGAGATCGCACCCGCGGAGAGCCACAACTGGTTGGGCGCTGTTGAGAGAAAGCACCAAGTGGTGAGACGAGCGCTGGAGCTGTACATGGAGGATTCCGGCAAGAAGAATGATAGCGGACTCCTGCAGGCTTGTGTATATGTCCCCTCGCAGATCAACTCGATGAGCATGGTGCGAGGATTCACGCCCCAGCAATGGGTGATGGGTAAGAACCCCAACCAGGTGCAGTCTTTGACGGGAGAGATCTTCAGCCCGACGGTCAGTGGTGCAGCAGAAGCGGCTTGCAGCGCAGATGGTGATGCAAGACTGAGGAGAGCTATGAATCAGAACTACCGTCAGATCAAGGATGACGTGGTCATCGGACAGGTGGTGTACTACTGGCGAGAGAAGGGCGCGGGCATCTTGCAAAAGCAGAAATGGCGAGGACCTGCGCGAGTGGTGGCTACCGAGAAGGACAGCGACTACAAGGACCTCGTGATCTGGCTGGCGCATGGAACATCACTGTTGAGGTGTTCGCCCCATCAAGTACGTCCTCGAGTGGAGGAGACGGGCATCCCGCTGGTGGCTGATCCCAACGCTGCACTACAAGATCTACAAGCACTCCGAGCACGATCTACCACGCAGTACAAGGATGTCTTTGACCCAACGATTCACGAGGAACAGGACGAAGATGAGCTGGACGCCATGTATGAGCCGGAGGCGCTGGACTTTGATGAGGAAGCCTCGCCAACATCACCGGCGGGGTCAGCCGAGGTGATCTCGGTTCCTGGAGTTGTGGTGCCATTCCTGCAGGCGCATGCGAGAAATGTGGAGCAGAAAAATGACGCCAGTGAGCCAAGATCCCGAAGGGCGTCTACAGTTGAACCAGAACCACTGCCGCCAGCTGAGGCTGAAGGACGTGGCCCAGCATCTTCAGAAGGGCGACAATCATCGCAGCCAGCACAACCAGCCGAACCACAAGCACCTGATGGACGGGATGAACAGCAGGACCTGCGAAGCAAGCGGCAGAAGACTGCACAGGCATCGGATGCTCCTGTTGACGTCCCAGTGCCCATGCAGGATGACGATGATCTCATGGTGGAGGATGTGACGTTTGTGGATGGAGCTGAACCAGATCTACCTGCCGGTTGGGTAAGCGTGGACGGTGAGTTCGTGGCTGGTGAAGAACCTTCGGAAGAATGAGGCGTCCGAGAAGAACATGACGGCTGACCAGCGAGCCCAGATTATGGAGGCGAAGAAGGCAGAGAACTATTTTCGGAACCAGGTGTGGAACTTTGCGGAGGTGAACCCCGGAGATGAGTCGCGGATCGTCTCTGCGCGATGGGTGCTGACCTGGAAGGAAACTGAAGGAGGTGGACCCCGAGCCAAAGCACGTCTGGTGCTGCGAGGCTTTGAGGATCCAGACCTGCTCTACCTTGATAAGGCATCACCAACAGCCGGAAGGCTGGGCAAGAACTTCCTCCTCCTGATTGTCCAGAACAACCACTGGAATCTATAAGTTGGTGACGTACGAGCAGCTTTCCTGTCTGGATCGCAGTTCGACCGGAAGATCATTGTCAAGCTGCCGAGTGATTGCGGACCACTACTTGGAGTGGTTGGCCCGGCATACATGAGACTGCTGAAGAGCGCGTACGGCCTGGCAGATGCACCACTGTTGTGGTACAAGGAGGCAACGTCGAGACTGCAGTCGCTGAATTTCATCCAGCACAGGATCGACAAGTGTCTCTTCATCTATTACAAGCAGACGACTGGCGAGATGAAGGCGATTCTGATTGTCCATGTGGACGACATTCTGCTCGACGCGGACATGAGAGACAAGGAAGTGGTGGAGCTTGTGAGAAAGGTGAGAGCAAGCTTTGACTTCGGCAAGTGGAAACAGCTGCAGGAGAAAGAGCCAATTGTGTACTGTGGCGGCACGATCAGCATCCAGAACGGCGAGATCGAGGTGAGCTTTGCGGACTACCTCAGGAAAGTCATGCCCATCACGGTGAACAACAAGGACACCGGCAACCTAACCGACAAGGAGGTCTCCAAGAGTCGAGCACTGTTGGGTGCTCTTCAATGGCCAGCAGGACAAGCAGCGCCACATCTATGTGCTTCAACAAGTATCCTTGCAGGCGACATCGCCGCGAAGGAGCGCAGCGTGCTGAACGAGCTGAACAAGGCATTGCGCTTTGGCAAGAGCAACTAGGATGTGGTGCACAAGTTCCCGAAGATGATGGACGACATCAAGGAGCTGGGGTTTGTTGCCTTCAGTGATGCAGCATTTGGAGTGCGACGAGACATGGCGTCGCAGGGCGGCTATATCATCATGGCCTGTAACAAGAAGATGCTGCATGGCGAGTGCGAAAGGTACACACTGCTGAGCTGGAGATCGTTCCGGTTGCAGAGGGTGTGCAGGAGTTCGTTGTCTGCAGAAAGCCAAGCGTGTTCGACAGCCTTGGACGAGCTCACGCTGACTAAGCTTTTCTACTCCCTCATGCTGAACCCGGACCAGGACTTGCGAAAGAGTGAGACGGTGCAAGCAGCTGGCGAAAGTGCAATGGTGGTGGACGCTCGAGCTCTGTATGATGCGACGCAGCGGGAGACCATCCAGAACGCCGGCGACAAGAGGGCAGCAATCCAGATCCTCTGCATCAAGGACGCGTTGACCTGGACCGGAAGCAGACTGAGGTGGGTCAGTTCCGAGAGGCAGTTGGCTGACGGAACGACGAAGCTGGCGGCGCGGCAGTCATTGGCTGACGATCTACGTGGAGGCTACATGCAGTTGATCAACGACGGCAACTTCACGGCAGCGAAGAAGAAGACTAATCAGGAGCGGAAGCCGCAAAGGACAGTCACGAGTGGTGGCAGCGCGGTGGCAAGTTCGTTGGTGGCCATGGTGGCGAATGACTACATCCGGAAGGTCGAGGGTTACAAGAACAGCGGCGACGAGGTGATCGACGTGATCTTTGTTGTCGGAGTCTTCATCGTCATCCTGGCGGTGATCTACGGCATTGTGAAAGTGACGGAGGTGTGGATCATTGGGAAGCAGGAGAAGGTGAAGAACACGCGGAAGCTGGAGGTGGCAACGCAAACCGAGATTGACAAGCGGCCGGAGTATTCGGCCCTGTGGCAGAAGCACCAGGAGCAATCGTTTGAGCTCCAGTACTGGAAGAACGCGGTGCCCTCTTCTGTGGTCGTGACCCACTACCATCGACGCGGTTGTCATCACATCAGTGAGAGGCAAGTGCAAGAAAAGACCCGATGCAGAGACTGCATCGGGTGAAGACCATGGGAAATTCTTTTCCCCCTTTTTGGGCATGTGAAGAACATGCCATGTCCTTGAATCTTGATGCTCACACGAAGGGTGGGCTCGAGCTAAAGCAAATAGGCTACGCCTCACGGATGGATTGAGGAGAAAAGTGGCTGACGACTTCGTGCGCGGCGGCCTGGAGAAGTGAAGGACTTCTTGTTGGATGCCCATTGTGCCAAGTCGTGTTTCCTTTTCGCGATCTGGGGGTTTTCCGTGGACCTCTTTGAATGAGATAACTGCAGCATTTGGCTTTGAGACTTCGACAATCATGTGACCTCGTGCAACTTTGCGGTCTGTGTTTTCCTGCACTACCGGTATGGGTTAGCAGGTTTGGTGGGACATGCTTATTCTTCAAGGACCCTTTGTTCTCCCATGGTGGGTTGCCAAGGACAGCACGGAGCCGGGGCCTTGCCAGAACATGCCCGTGCCCTACCAAAACGGAGGACGGGGAGTGGTCCGGAAGGTCGCGGTTTGGCCAAGCAGTGTGGGGATGGGATAAAGTTGTGGTTTCTCTTTACAACCAAACTGAAAAGGGTAGCCTGAAAAAAACGCGCGCCCATGCGACGGCTGATCAGCTGGCTGGTTCGGCCAGGTTGGCGCGAGAGTTTGGGCTCGGGGAGCGACGACATGCTGCGGGCGCTGCCGAACCTGCTGTGCAAAACAGGCACGGGTTTGAGGCAAGCTGTTTGAATTCGAGCCTTGCTGAGCACCTAGGATGCCGCAAAGTGGGATTGCACGAGGGCAGTTCAGCAGATGGCACCGTGCCATTTGTTTTTTCCTCCAGTTTCGCGTGGTCGGGCGAAACTGTCGGGAGCAACCATCCAATGACTCTCGGGGATTTCGCGCGCGCGGGTTGGCTCCTATGGGCCCAGCGGTTTTGCGGATGGGGCAAAATTTGTTTTTGAAGAGCTACACCGTTCCTTCAAAGCAAAGACCCAAAGCAAGTGTTTAACCAGTCGTGGTTTAAACATGTTTAACCAGGGGGGGCTGCCCCGTGGTTTGCCAGGTGCCCACGACTGGGCGCGCTACGAGAAGCTGGTTCTGGCACAGACGGGAGCTGGCGCACCTGCGAATGTCCCGGCTGCGCACTTAGCGATAGACGGCGGGAATGGACGCTCTGGAGTTTACTGTTGGGTTGGCCAATGAACTTCAAGGGTAGTGGTTAGTGAGAATGAATTTTCAAATGTCCAAATAAGGGCCGCCCGCCTATCAACATTTCACGCCCATATGTTTCGTGCCTGAGTCTGTGCATTTTGATCTTCTCTTTTTGGCATGTTGATCTTCTCTTTTTGGCTTTGTCTGACGCCCATGTCTTGCCGCACAGATACCTGGGACCCTGCTTGGTTCAAATAGCTCCCGTCCATTGGGGTTCCCACCATTGTTTTGCAAACAAAGTATCCAAAGCACTATCATTTCTACCAGGAAAGCGCACGCAGCCTCTTGCGCTGCTCTCACCCGCAGGGCCCAAAGCCCTCAATGCACAGCCATTTTCAAACAAGTTGTCACAGCAATTCCGCACCAATTGCCTCCAGCCGCGGATCCCACGTTTCCATCCCCCACCTCCTAAGCTCACCGAGCCAACTCCAGACCTAGACCAAACTCAGCGCAGTTTGCAAGCAGCAATGTCGCAACTTTGTCGGCCTGACTGCGCAAAAGCAGGATGATTCATAGCATGCCTTCGTCCCGGGATCTTGGTGTTGAATGCCAGTGTTCGCAGACGAATGCTGTACACCACAGTGCAGCGTTGTGGGCCACAGCAAAGCCAGGAAGAATAAATCAACACCACAAGACATGCCGTGCACTTGCCTGCAATCTCGGATGGTCAGCTTGCAATGGGCGGTCCATAAATGAGTTCCACCAGCTTTTTTCATGGCATTTCGGGCGCGCGTGCGCCTGGAGTCGAGGTTTGCAGCACCGATTTCAGCGTCCTCCAGAAGCTCCAGCACAGCTGATGGAGGGTCATGCCATGGTCAAAAGCCAAAAGCCCCGGCATGGCCATCAACCTCTTTACGGGCTTTGGACCAATGAGGCAACCAATACAAAGCTTCTCCATACCGCGACCCAGAGGAACGGAAGAGTTTGATCAACATGTCACAGTGTCACCCACAGCTTCAGACAAAGCTTTCTCAAGCCAGAGATCAGAAGAGCTTTGCCGTTTTGCCCGGGAAGTCAACAGTTTACTGTTTGCGTTCACCCTGGCAGGCCCGGGGGGAGCTGAGTGCGTTCTTTGAGCCTTGTGATGTTAGTGCGGCATGCTCGCAATGCAGATTGAGTTGTTGAAAGAGGACTTTGCATTTCAAGGCCTACTTACTTCATACGGATTCCTGAGCGAGCCTTCAAAGAGAAACCATTCTCATGTTGCCTGTGAAGATGCTCGTAAGCTCCAACCATTTCAGGGCTCTTTCAATTTCTTCGACCCCCCTCATTCACGAGCATACCCGAGTGGGGTCCTGGAAGACGTTTTCCTCAAGACCTGGCCTGAAGCCCCGCCCCCAACTTCGAGCATGAGACTCTGGGCCTTGGCCGCCTTGCTGGCGTCTGCAGAGGCCAGGGGCATGGAAGCTTGACCCCTGAGGCTTACCTGAAGGCTTGGACACAAGTTGTTTGCACTTTTCACCATCCCTGGTCCCTTGTTAAGGGAAGCCAAACAGAGTTTGCTTTGAACGACCAGTGTTCAAAACAGGGGGGTTGATCAAAAGGTCCTTGCAAGGAGTTGTGTATCCGGTGAAGTCAGCGATGGAGTTTGCGAAAGACGCGTTGGGTTGGAGGTATGCATCTGTTGCTTGCATCCTTTCCTGCCTGCGCTGGCATGTTCTGTGGAGGCATGCAGCTGCGCCTTCCCGCGGCCAGTTCGTGCGGGCAAGCCACTTCTGTCCCCGGCGGTGCAGCTGCTGGAGAAGCCCTTGGTCTTTGTGGGGGAGGCGACATTGCGGCCATGCCTTCACCGTGGGTGTGTCCTGTTTTGAGACCTTCTGGGTTGGTTTGAATTTTAAAGGGAGACCAAATGGAAACCAGTCATTCTCGAAGTTCCCCTTTTTGGAGACAAGCCCATGTCTTACCGTCTTCCTGTCTTGCTGGTTGCCACCCCCCCCACAAAAGAAAGTAGAGCACTGTGATTCTGGATTTCTCTTGTGCCACAGGAAGAAGGGTGGCTTGAGAGCAGCAGCACACGCTGCTGGGGTCTGGTGGGCGAGCCCGCGGCCAGGTTTTTTTTTCCTTCCTCCAGCTGAGACATCTTATTTGGTGGTTTGAAGGCTTGTTTCCTTCTTGTTGTGGAGGGTAAGTGGGAAACCACCCCCCCACCTCCAAACCACCAATCTAAACCTGCATGCAGGGAGGCCCTGCAGCCTTGCGTCAGGTCCTCTCGGTGCAGCCAGCCGACCAGCTCCCGGAGGACGGTTAATTTTGTGTCGGGGAAGCCCTCTCCGCGTGCCCTATGTTTTCTTTTCAGCCATCACCCCAAGTCAAACTCAGCTTCAGTGGGCCAAACAGGGGTCACTCTATTTCATGGTGTCGCGAGTTGGGTGCGTCTCTTTTTGGAATCGGTACCTTGGGGCGGTTTTCAGGGACATGGGAAAAGACACCACCCATTTTGCGTGCTCCCCTATTCAGAGGCAAGCCTGATTTTATGTGCCTCTGGCAGTCGGACCCAATCTTTGCTCGGCCCGTCTCCGTGATGTAGTGCCGGTTGCCGGATGCGGCACTTCCTGTCAAGGGGGCAAATCTTGGCCGCAAAACGGGGTTGATTGTTCGTGTTCTGGGTGCGATGAGCACCCGGCATGGGACAGAGATGCCAGTTCACGGTGAGGTCCTCGCTGACCGGCTGCATTTTGCAAGGGAAGCCAACGCACCAAACGCCCGATTGGCAGCAGAACATCACAGCGGTCCAAACTTCCGGCAGTGCTCCCGATTTTTGGCGGTGCCCAGGTTGGTTCGGTTTCCAGGACAAGTCAGCCTTCTGTGCGTCTGAGACCTGCCCCGAAGACTTTGAGTACTGGGACCGCTGCATGCGGCGGTACTTGGCCAAAGTCACGGTCAACGTGGGCATAAAGGCGGGCTGTGCCTCCGCGCCACAAGGGACAGGCTCGCCCAAACGCGAGCAACAAGGTTTGCAGCGCTTTGAGCTTTACTTTGTCCCAGGGTATTGAAGTGGGCGACATCTTTACCTACAACTGCACTAAAGCCAGCTGCTGCACGGCTGCACATGCCAGCTTGGTTTCAG